ATCAGCTTAGCTCACAGCAATCTCAATCTCCTGGGCTCAAGCGGTGTCCTCCTGCCTCAGCCTCCGAGTAGCTGGGACTACAGGCATGGGCCACCATGCCGGCTATTTTTTTCTATATATTTTAGTTGCCCAATTAATTTCTTGTATTTTTAGTAGAGACAGGGTCTCCTCTTGCTTAGGCTGGTCTCGGACTCCTGACCTCGAACCAATCCTCCCGCCTCAGCCTCCCAGAGTGCTAGGATTACAGGCGGAGCCATTACTCCCGGCCTAAACCTTTTGTTGGTAAGCTGCTGCTGATCAAGGTTTCATATGGAGGAGTGGGGGTGCGCGACAGGCGTAACAAAGGGCAAGAGTGTGTATGCATGGGGGGGGGGGTGAAAAGGCCAAGCTTTGCTCCTAACCCAGCGCGGGAGGAAATCTCCCCTCCTGCAGCCTCAGTTTATTCCTCCATAAAATGGGCATCCCTGATGCCCCCAACTCCTAGGCTGTACTGATCCGGATCAAAGCGTCCAGCGAAACAGCCAGCGGGGGTGGCCCCGGGCTGTGCTCTGTGCTCCCTGAGCCTGCGGCCGGCCCGCGACCACGTGGGGCAGTGCGGCGACGCGAGCGGAACCCAGGCTCCGCGGCTCGCGGCCCGCCGGGCCTCTGCGGCGGGCAGGCGGAGGCAGTGTGGTGCCAGCAGCGCCGGACTGGGTGAGTAAGGGGTCGTGGTGGGGACCGTGAGCAGGTTCCCTCCCCCCGACCCCGGCCCGGGACGCCTACCCCCGTGCAGGTCCCGGAGTGGGGAAAGACGCGGGACAGCGCGGGCAACGCGGGCACGGGGACGTTTTGGCGCCGAACGCCTGTATCAGGGACTCTGTCCCGAACACCGGCGGCGGGAAGGGCCCAGCGGATGGGTGGGGAGCAGGGGGAAGCGGAGTGCTCCCCCGCTCCCCGGGAGAATAGCAATGACCACGAGAAGGACTGTCGAGTAACGGTGGCGATCTAGACTCCCGCCTTGCCTGGGGTGGAATCGCTTGCGCCATGTGACCCTGTTGGTGGGAAGAGATGTCCAGCCCCAACGCCCAGGGCGGGGTCGGGAGGTGACGCGCGGGGCCGGGAGGACCCACTTAGTATAAGAAAAGGAGAGCTCTGGGGCCAGGGCGAACTGAAAGAAGACTGACCTGCCCTAAGGGCGGAGGGGAGGGGAAAGATTCCTTGCTTGGAGTTCTGACCCTTGGCTCGGTGGCCCCATTTAAAAAATTTGCATCAAGATGGGGCAGCCCACCCGGTGTGTGTGTGTGTGGACACGTGAGCACCTGGGTTAATTAGGTCTGGCTGCTTCGCTATTAACCGGATGAATTTAGCCAGTTCCTGCCCTGGCAACCGTTTGTCTGCTGAACTATCATTCTTATTTTCTTTTTTTTTTTGAGACAGAGTCTCGCTTTGTTGTCCAGGCTAGAGTTAGTGCCGTGAGTGTCAGCCTAGCTCACAGCACATCAAACTCCTGGGCTCGAGAGATCCTCTGCCTCAGCCTCCCGAGTAGCTGGGACTACAGACATGCGCCCCATGCCCGGCTAATTTTTTTATATACATATCAGTTGGCCAATTAATTTCTTTCTATTTATAGTAGAGACGGGGTCTCCCTCTTGCTCAGGCAAGAGGGAGTTCAGGCAAGAGTTCAAAACCATTGAACTCCTGACCTTGAGCAATCTGCCCGCCTCGGCCTCCCAGAGAGCTAGGATTACAGGCGTGAGCCACCGCGCCCGGCCATCATTCTTATTTTCTTATGGGTTCCGAGGCCCCAAGGAGATGGAAACCTACCATTGACCCACGTGGTGGGCTCTTGTGTCTACAGACAAGTTTTCCAAGTAGTAGGAGATGGGTTTGAACATTTTGTTTCCCTGAAACCTTCCTAGTAAATCCCTGGCTTGGAGATTTGGGATAAAGGTCTCTGCGGCCAGGTCACCAGGGAGAATGGATAAGGCCTGCCTTTCAGTTCTTGGGCACACCCTGTGTGACCTTTCTCAAGGTAATTTCTAGATCAGGTCATACCTTGGGTCCAAAATCTTCGTGGTCTGCTTTGTGCTGGTGGAAAAAGTCTGCCTTCATGGCAGGAGAGAGGGCCCCTGCTCCTTGTCAGGCCAACCTGAGTCTGTTCCTTCTCTCTACGACTCTCTCCAGCTTGCACCCAGCAAATGATTTGGCAGCCTCCAGCTTCACTTTCTACCTTTGCAAAATGGGCATTGCATCCAGGGGACCAAATCTCCCTTGTTTTTTTTCCTGATGGAGAAAACCCATCCCTATACTGGCCTTCATTTTTTGTTTTATTATAAGTTAACATAATTATAAGAGATTTAACATAATTCTTTGGCCACTTGCTTAATTCCCATCCTTTATTAAGTGCTAATCCTGGAGACTAGGGTGTTTCTCTTAAAAATCTCGGGTGATAACTAGGTTGAGGGAAGTCCCCGGAGGCTGGGAGGCTTGACTACATCAGAGTGACAGTGGTCAGATAAATTAGAAAATGTAGGCCAACAGGGTGGCTCACACCTGTAATCCCAACACTCTGGGAGGCTGAGGCCGAAGGATCACTTGAGGCCAGGAGTTCTCCACCAGCCTGAGTAAGAGCGAGACCCTGTCTCTACAAAAAATAGAAAAATCAGCCCCGGGCATGGTGGCGCCCACCTGTAGTCCCAGCTACTTGGGAGGCTGAGGCAGGAGGATCGCTTGAGCCCAGGTGTTTGAGGTTGCAGTGATCTATGATGACACCACTGCACTCTAGCCTGCGGGACCACAGCAAGACACTGTCTCAAAAAAACAAAAAAAAAACAAAAAGAGAATTAGGCAATATCAATATCACTTAATCCCATTCACTAAATATCAGTTAATCCCATTCACTGTGGTCTTCTCCCTTTGTCCCTCATGTCTAGTCCCTGTGGGGCAGGCAGAGGGATCCTGGGGAAACCTATGCCACATCCTGTTGCCCTGCTCGGAACTGTGCAGTGGCTCCAAGTCTCACTCAGAGTGGAAGTCGGATCTGTCCCTGCCCCTACCTCCTCCTTTCTGGCTTCCTTGCTATGCCCCAGAGCCACTCTGCTGTGGACTTTGCATTGCTGTTCCCTCAGAGAGGAATGTGTTCCCCATATCCCCGCATAGCTGGAGTTCCTTTTTTCATTCAGATCTGCACTCCAATGGAACCTTATCACTGGGATCTTTCCTGCTCTGCCTTCCTGGAAACCACCCTCTGCCCCCCAGGCTGGGCCAGCTGTCCCCTCTAGGCTCCTTCATTCCAGCCCTGCCCACTCTGGGTCATCACTGTCCTGGGGACAGGTTGGTGTCAGTCATTGGACTGTGAGCTCCTGAGGACAGGGTCAGGCTGATTCAGCCATAGGTGTGTTCTCTGAATTGCCCAGCATGGGCGAAGGGGCTGCAATTTTCTCAGTGCTGTCAGGGAGGAAAGTGAGCCACGTATCTAGAAATATATAATCTTCTATCTGGAAGAGGGGTCCGGGCAGTAAGAAGGGCAAGTGCAAAGGCCCTGAGGCAGGACTGTGCTTGGCATGTTTAAGGAATAACAACAATGAGCAAAGGGTCAAGGGGAGGGAGGTGAGGTCAGAGATGTGACAGTAGCCTTGTAGCCACTGTCAGAACTTTGACTTT